CAAAACAAACTAGCAAAGAGATTCGCAAAGCACACACCACCCTAGCGTTCTGGCGTTGAAATGCACCGCGATGCAACGCAACCTGACGCAGAACCATAAAACGGCCACGACGCCGTAGGAGTGACGGCGTAGCTACGCCGTGGAGTTGACGCAGAAGTATAATGAAGCCTGTCCACGGCGAAATTAACCGTCATCTTTTGCGTGTATGTCTACGCCGTTAAATGTCCGAGTGATTCCGCGTGTATGTGTACGCCGTTAAATGTCCGCGCGAAACGAAGCAAAATGTAGATCTACATCTGTGGAGCAATATTTTTTTTTTCCTAGGATGGTAGGGGAAGACTCATAAATGGCATTAACCCCAGTGACGGGTAGGTTTAGGGACGGGATTGGGGTAGGTCATATATTTATATATACAGTAATGTAACGTTAAGTCAACGGCGTTGATAAACACGCTGAAAAGCGATTATGCGTGTTGATAGCACACCAAAAATGGAAATACGAATTGGCGTGTCATACATACGCCATTTCATGAGATCAGTCTGTTGGAACCTTTATTTTCAAGAGTGTAACTTGTATTTATTCTATACTTTACTGTATAGAAATGCTTGAATCTATAATAATATCCATGTTGCTCCATCTGCAGCAGTTCTTAGATTAAGATATTGCACAAAATGTCTGTAAAGCGAAGTTCAGTTCTCAGAATCGCTCTCACACAGGCATGATCAACATGTTTCAGCAAGTCGTCACCTGACGTGTGTTTTCAGCTCCTCCACAAATCTTCCTGGAGATTATAATGTATTATTTTGAGTCATCTCTCTTGGTCCCACACTGGTTGTATAGGTTGATTTTCCCGAAAGCATTGCAAACCTGAGTGGATCGTAGAGAGCATTGGTGCCAATGGAACACACTACACAACTTTTGAACAGATTTTAAGACACTTGGCATTATACACATTTTTTTTTGTAAATGGCTATGAAGAAAAACTGGGTAGCATAAACTACACCCGGTATACTTCAGTTGAAATCGAAGAATGAACTGGTGTGACATCATTTTGAACAAAATCAGGCTCCGCCTTCTTTGACATGGAAATCTCCTCCGGTTCATTCATTTCTTCTGTTCCATCAGTCGAGCTCAGACGTTCAGGAGTAAAAACATGAATCAAACCACAAACTCACACAGAAACATGCGTATTGTTACTAGAAGGATGTTGAAAACATGTTCTAAAATGTTTGATGTCCTACAATTCATAGCCTGAAGCAAAAATCAAAACAAAAAACAAGTCTGTGCCCATCATAAACTGACTGCAGTTTTCAGTGAAATCTGTCAATGCCGACTGGCCAAAATCTACAGACTGGCCCCGACTTAAAGGAGAACTCCGGCGCAAAATGAACCTTTGGTCTAATAAAACATTGGTACCTAGTCAACCGTTCTCTGAGATTTGTTTTCATGATAATCGAATGTCCATCCGTCCATCTTCTTCTGCTTATCCGGGGCCGGATAATCGAATGTAGGAAGATAAGATAAGAAGATAAAGATAAAGACAGTCCACTTTGTGTATACAGACAGGAGCAGGGACGTGCACAGGGGGGTTGCTCAGGTTGCCCGGGCAACTGCCCATATGCCCTTCTCACTCAAGTTGCCCTTCCGAGAAAAAAATTAAATCGTACAATGGATGCAGAATTTCACGTAGGCCTAGATTTAAAAAAAAAAATCGCAAAGCCTCACTCACTTACATTCGGGCACCGAAAGTGAAAGTCAGTATGAAGGGCAAACGCTGCACGCGACCATAGACTGCACGCGACCGGCGTAGGGCCACGCAAATTAAGGCCACGCCTCCATCTCGTGTCATAGTCATAGCGCGCCGTCAAATGTGTAGCTACAACATCCACGACAAAATGAAGCGAAACTATCCTTCTGGTCACGAAAAGAGGAAGAAGAAAAAAACCATGAGAGTGAATTGCGGGAACAACAATCAGGTAAACTTGTGTTCTCTCCTCTCTAAGTTTGATGTCAGCAAAGTTTGATGTTTTTCGGTCTTGCTAACCTAGCTGGGCAGGCAGTGCATCTCTTGCATCACTTTGTGCCTGACAAAAGTGAGAGTAAAATACAAGTATTTATTACGTTTGATTTTGATAAACGACAAAGTGCAACTGTGTTTGTTTACTGCAGCTCGGAAAACATAACCGCGTCGCGTGTGTTATCGTGCGTTCATATGCGCGTTGCCGAAATGAAACTCGCATTTTTCAAGCAGAAATATGTGGAGACCAGACATACTGTACAATACATGCACGTGAATGATGGCACTCCCAATCAAAGTACACATTATACTTTTAAAACAAGACACTGATTATCTTGTCTCAGTGTAGTTAAAAACTCTAAACAACTGCACTAATTATGCAAGATAGAAAGCAATGTATTGACAATTTGACATTGATTGACTATTGATTTATAGGCTATATTGAATTTAAAATGTTGATTAGCTGGACATACTGGTCAAAATGGATGCACATCCCTCAGTAAATAATAACCATAAATCAAGAATTGCTTCAACATGCATAATAAAAAATTAAAAAAGCATACTGATGCCGAAAATGCCCAGGCTGTAGAGAGAACCAAAGTTAATCCCAAAAGCCAAAGCTCAGAACAGGGTAATTTATTATTTTCTTCTTATTTATGTTTACGTTAATATTCACTTACTTAATAATATTCACTTATTATCTTAACATATAGAAAATACTCTATTCAATAAATATTGTGTGTTTGATTCTGTTCTATATTGTTGTACTTATTCTTTGACTGTTTTGGCTAAAGGAGGGAGGATTGTATTGGGAGCACTGAAGTGTCAGGTGTGACTGTGTGGCAATGGCAAATGGTTTACATAGCTCACGACATCACAGGTCAGGTAGAGGGCCCAGTAGTAGTTGCCCAGTAGTAGTTGCCCAGATGAGCAAAAAGCACAATTGAATGTACGGGAAGCCAAAAGGTTAAAAAAGGATTGTATTTTTTCCGAAATCTAGGCCTAAGCGTTTTTTTTATTTTTATTAGAAGCGAGTTTTTCCCCATCTGTCAATTCAGTCCAGATTATTTATTTAAAAAATAAAAAAATAAAAATAATAATTAAAAAACAATAAACAATAATATGAGGAACTCTTTTTCTCATGTGTATTTTGGTGACATTTAACATATTGTTAATACATTTTGTATACTGTTTACAAAGTTGTATATCATAAACCTGTCATCTTTGACGTTTGCAATCTTTATAAATAATAATAAGACCATAATATGAGGCATTGCGTTTGGACATAAACACGATCAGATAAGGCAATTTGTATGGGCAAAATTCAACTGAATATATTCCTTCATATAGCCCTTGAGTTTTGGGGGTAGTGCCCTTTTTTCAGGTCAGAGCAACTGCCCCACAAAATTCCTGTGCACGTCCCTGGACAGGAGCCATCTTTGGAAAACAGTCTCGACTAATCAAACCACGAACACCATTCATACAGTTCAGCTCACTTAGCACGTCGTTCGTGGTTTGATTAGTCGAGACTGTTTTCCAAAGATGGCTCCTGTCTGTATATACGAAGTGGACTGTCTTTATCTTTATCTTCTTATTAAACGGTCTGGACACTTACAAAGTTCTCAATGCTTCGTTTTGCATGTAGGGACCCTCATTATGTTACTGTGTTCGTGTGGGGCTATTTTGAGCCTTGTTAGTGGTATAAACTAGCGATTTCTTTTTACTTATTATATGCCCCCATTACTAGCGTTATACGCTAAACAGTTTTTAGAGATAAAACTCTTTACATTCGATTATCATGAAAACAAATCTCAGATAACGGTTGACTAGGTACCAATGTTTTATTAGACCAAAGGTTCATTTTGCGCCGGAGTTCTCCTTTAAAGGGGTGGTATAATGCGCTTTCCACAAGATGTAAAATAAGTCTCCGATGTCCCCAGAGTGTGTGTGTGAAGTTTTAGCTCAAAATACCCCACAGATATTTTTATAAAGCATGTTAAAATTGTCACTTTTTGAGGGTGAGCAAAAACGCACCATTTTTGTGTCTGTCCCTTTAAATGCAAATGAGCTGCGGCTCCCAGCACAGGGGGCGGAGCTTCAACAGCTCGTGTCATTTTACCTCACACACACGCACTGAAAATGTCTAAAACTTTTAGCCTTTTATGTTCAAACCGGAGTCAGACAATAATGGAGAGACTCAAGATCATTTAAACAATGTAAAACTTCACTTAATGTTTAAGAAGCATCATAGCCACTATACAAAGATCAGAATCTCACGTTTATTTGATTATTTTTTTTTTTTTTACATTGATTAGTATTGGCTGTTACAGTAGTTTGATGTAAAACCATGTTTATTGGAGGCAGAGCGTGTGGAAATGGGCATATTCCTCATGACCGCTCACACACACACACACACAAACACACAAGAAGCCTGGAGGTTTTGCCCTCTCTGATACTTTATATCATTTAACAACAGAAACATTCTTGCGCTCCAAATAAAACAAAAAGATGAATTAAAAAAGTAAAACGATCCCACGGACTAGATTTTAGCATCTGAAGAATCAAGATTCTAAGAGCATCCGCCCACTGATACTTTGTATATTATAAATCCATATATCTTTGTGAAAACGTAAATATGCAATGAAGAATCCTTCTGAACTACAGGCAAAGAAATGTTCAGTCAAACTATAATGACCTAAACATATCATACAAAATATATCAACACACTAACACGCTTCTCATGAACCTGAACATAAAGAACGTCGGCGAAGATTTGATCGAATACTTGAAATGATTCTGATACATATCTGCAAATGTGAAATACTAAAATAATAAGAGGACTGGGTTGATGAAAGGTGGTTGATCTTCCAAAACAGTCCAACAGTGGCGATTCACACGTGAAGAAAACGCTGGCAGATTTCCCTCCAGACAGTAGATGTGTCCACTCGGCCGGGTCTGCATTAATAGCAGTGCTGTGAATGTCTCCGGCATTGTACAATAAAGGCACTGATCTTTCTTTAAGCCCGAGGACAAAGGGGGACTAACTATTCTTAAAGTCCTCTAGTGTGTCAGCAAAAATCAAAACTCAATCACTGAACTCGCTCCTCTCTAATGTGCTGGCGTGTCGGGGCAGTCGCTCCATCATGGGGTTTCGTGGTTCGGTGTGACTCGACCTCATGACTGCCTCAGATAAGTGTGTGTGTCTGTCCCGGGGCAGACGGGCTCTCAGGACGAGAGGTTTTGGACGTAGTTTGCAGGATAGAGACCCGTCTCTCCGCTGGACAGCTGTCCTTTACACCAGCCCTGCTCGTCCTCCTCACCCAGCTTCATTAACTCTTCACCTGTACACACACACACACACACATCTCATAACACCACTCCTTCAGGCACGTTTACAACTATATCAGCGCTCACACCAGTGGACGATATCGTTCTGTTTATTCTGACGCTTTAAATGCTCCAGCTCTGTGACAGCCAATCAGAATCCATCCCGATTTAATGTTTTTATCGTTCATCGGCTGGAAGGTGATGCCAACGATATCGTTTCTCTGTGCTGTTATCTTTATAGTTGAGGTGTGTACTCTGCTATTCTTTTATATTTAGAGTATTTTCTTAAACTTGATCATTATCGTCCCTGGTGTGAACGGGCCTTTACTCTTCCATGTGACACATATAAGGTATAAAGTTATGTCAGCCGGTCATAACTACCCCGAAGAGGTTTATTGTGAGATTATAACCAGCTGACTTTATTTTTCCCACTATATCTCTGTTCCATATCGTGCAATAATACATAATAATCGGAATCAGTTGATATTTAATTGTATGCTCATGCTCAGTATTTTTACATTCATCTGACACTCATTTAAAAATCACTAATACTTTCATAAGTTAACTTTGATATTTAGCAAATTTCAAAAAGGATACCCATATTTTAAATATTTGGTGAATATTAAATCTCATTGAATTTGTTTCAACGATAGTGTACAGTATTAAATATGATATTTAATATTGTACACTACCGTTCAAAGAAATCAATACCTTTATCCAGAAAGGAAGCATTAAACTGATCAAAATTAACAGGAGACATTTATCATTTTACAACAGATTTCCATTTCAAATAAATGCGGATCTTTTGAAGATTCCTGGCAACGTGCATCACAGTTTTTGCTGCTTTTTATTTTTGTGGAAACAGTCTAACATTTCTTCTTATCAATGTTGAAAACTGATTTTTGAAGGGTCATGTGACACGGAAGACTGGAGTAATGATGCATCGCAGAAATACATTTCTATTTAAATATATTTTAAATGTAAACTACAGAGCCCCAAATGGACATGGTGATGGAAAACAAATATGAGACGGAAGGAAAAATAATAAATCAATGCTTTAGCGTTCTGTTGCAAATGTTTCGTGTTCTTTGCAAGTGACCGCAAAAGCATCTGTTCATTATTTTTCCTCCCATCTCATATTTTTTTCTTTACCATGTCCCTTTAGGGGCTCCATAGAAAACATTTCTTTAAATTGTATTAATATTTGATAGTTTTTAAATAAATGGTGAGCAGAAGAAACTTTTGAACAGTAGCGAACGTTATAATGTGTTTTGGTATTTGTATTGTACTTTTATTTATCTTTTTTTCTTTACACAAAACATGGAATTGGGGAATTAACATCGAACATTTATGGGTTTATAAATAATTACTTGTTTATTGGTACCGGACTGGACAGAATATCAATATCAGTGTATCCATAATGATCCCTTCAACCGAACGGCTCCACACTGGGCAGTGCAGGACTGAGTGAAGTGAAGTCTTGCAGAGTCAACACAGTTTCGTAAGCGATGCAATGATCTCACTTTTGGTTTGCACACCCTTGTGCCTGTGCGGACACGTCAAGCATGAAACCAGGCTTCAGGCTCAATTTGTCTCTATTAAATATTAAAAGTAAATGTGCCTGAAATATTCTAGTGTGTACTCAAGGAACTTCAACTGCCTCAAAATATTTTCCTTTAATGCAGGGGTCTCAAACTCGCGGCCCGCGGGATTTTGTGGCCCCCTACTTGACATTAAAGTTTAATGTTAGTGCGGCCCGTCGTTGCGTGTGCCGCGTTTTTTAAAAATATATATATTTTTTTATCCCTTATGAGCTACCATAGATAGTCTCGTGACAGTTTACGGTGGGTTTGTTGTCAAAAGTTGTCATAGACAACCGCGAAGTACAAACATACTGCGCCTGGAAAAAATGAGCGCGTCGCTTCAATTATGAGCGCGCTAGCCACGCGCCAACATTTGAAATAACGAACTTGAGCGCGCAAAATATGTGAGCGCGATATGTGAACGGGAGCGACGTGTTGGAGAGAGACCCTGCTCTAAAACAATGTGAGAATAATCATTTTGAGCTTGTAATATGTGTCCAACAGGTTGATAAGAAGGTTTGCTTTGATTTGTGCAGTATTTGCCTGAGACACTATACATGTGTAGAAAGAATTCAATAAGACGGGCAGACATGACTGCAAATATTTGTATTTCAAAAGCAATAATTGTTTTTCTAAGTATAATAAAAGGAAATGTGCCTTCCAAAAAAAACATTCAATATCATTAATGTGTTGTATAAAGAAAATAAAAAGGACATAAGCAAATATAAATATCACAAATATGTGTTATAGACAAAGAAAGTTTGTAAAATGAACTTCAACTGTCAGAAGGACAGCTCATGAAGAACCAATCATGTACAGAAAGGAATGTTCAAATTCAGAGGAACAGTTCAGAAGAAACGTTAATAATAAATATTGAGAAGATTGGATCAGTTGTGCTCCTTTTTTGGAATACTTGAATACTATTTTTTGTGGAATACTTGATGCGGCCCAGCCTGACCCCGACTCTACCTCCAGCGGCCCCCAGTTAAGTTGAGTTTGAGACCCCTGCTTTAATGAATATAAAATGGCTCCTCCATAAACCTTCATAGAGTTTTTGCAGGAACTTATCTGTGAAACTTTTTAAATGAAGGAACTGTTAAGAAAATGTAACTTCTGAAAAATATGTTTAGAATGATATACTCTTACATTAGATGAAGACAGCATTTCTACAATGGCATTGGTAACTAAAAATGTTTTATTTTGCTACATCCACACCACTAGGTGTCAGTAGTCTAAGATTACTGTCATGTTGGTCAGTACAATACAATAGCCACACCCCAAACTGTCAGCCTGCTACAGTAGCCACACCCCAAACTGTCAGCCTGCTACAGTAGCCACACCCCCAAACTCTCAGCCTGCTACAGTCACCACACCCCCAAACTCTCAGCCTGCTAGAGTAGCCACACCCCCAAACTCTCAGCCTGCTACAGTAGCCACACCCCCAAACTCTCAGCCTGCTACAGTAGCCACACCCCAAACTCTCAGCCTGCTACAGTAGCCACACCCCCAAACTCTCAGCCTGCTACAGTAGCCACACCCCAAACTCTCAGCCTGCTACAGTAGCCACGCCCCAAACTCTCAGCCTGCTACAGTAGCCACACCCCAAACTGTCAGCCTGCTACAGTAGCCACACCCCCAAACTCTCAGCCTTCTACAGTAGCCACACCCCAAACTCTCAGCCTGCTACAGTAGCCACGCCCCAAACTCTCAGCCTGCTACAGTAGCCACGCCCCAAACTCTCAGCCTGCTACAGTAGCCACACCCCAAACTGTCAGCCTGCTACAGTAGCCACACCCCCAAACTCTCAGCCTGCTACAGTAGCCACACCCCCAAACTCTCAGCCTGCTACAGTAGCCACGCCCCAAACTCTTAGCCTGCTACAGTAGCCACACCCCAAACTCTCGGCCTGCTACAGTAGCCACACCCCAAACTCTCAGCCTGCTACAGTAGCCACACCCCAAACTCTCAGCCTGCAACAGTAGCCACGCCCCCAAACTCTCAGCCTGCTACAGTAGCCACGCCCCAAACTCTCAGCCTGCTACAGTAGCCACACCCCAAACTCTCAGCCTGCTACAGTAGCCACGCCCCTAAACTCTCAGCCTGCTACAGTAGCCATGCTCCCAAACTCTCAGCCTGCTACAGTAGCCACGCCCCAAACTCTCAGCCTGCTACAGTAGCCACACCCCAAACTCTCAGCCTGCTACAGTAGCCACACCCCAAACTCTCAGCCTGCTACAGTAGCCACGCCCCAAAACTCTCAGCCTGCTACAGTAGCCACGCCCCAAACTCTCAGCCTGCTACAGTAGCCACGCCCCCAAACTCTCAGCCTGCTACAGTAGCCACGCCCCAAACTCTCAGCCTGCTACAGTAGCCACGCCCCAAACTCTCAGCCTGCTACAGTAGCCACACCCCAAACTCTCAGCCTGCTACAGTAGCCACACCCCAAACTCTCAGCCTGCTACAGTAGCCACGCCCCAAACTCTCAGCCTGCTACAATAGCCGCACCCCCAAACTCTCAGCCTGCTACAGTAGCCACGCCCCCAAACTCTCAGCCTGCTACAGTAGCCACACCCCAAACTCTCAGCCTGCTACAGTAGCCGCACCCCCAAACTCTCAGCCTGCTACAGTAGCCACGCCCCCAAACTCTCAGCCTGCTATAGTAGCCACGCCCCCAAACTCTCGGCCTGCTACAGTAGCCACACCCCCAAACTCTCAGCCTGCTACAGTAGCCGCACCCCCAAACTCTCAGCCTGCTACAGTAGCCACACCCCAAACTCTCAGCCTGCTACAGTAGCCACACCCCAAACTCTCAGCCTGCTACAGTAGCCACGCCCCCAAACTCTCAGCCTGCTACAGTAGCCACACCCCAAACTCTCAGCCTACTACAGTCACCACACCCCAAACTCTCAGCCTGCTACAGTAGCCACGCCCCCAAACTCTCAGCCTGCTACAGTAGCCACGGCCCCAAACTCTCAGCCTGCTACAGTAGCCACGCCCCCAAACTCTCAGCCTGCTATAGTAGCCACGCCCCCAAACTCTCAGCCTGCTATAGTAGCCACGCCCCCAAACTCTCAGCCTGCTACAGTAGCCACGCCCCCAAACTCTCAGCCTGCTACAGTAGCCACGCCCCCAAACTCTCAGCCTGCTACAGTAGCCACACCCCCAAACTCTCAGCCTGCTACAGTAGCCGCACCCCCAAACTCTCAGCCTGCTACAGTAGCCACACCCCAAACTCTCAGCCTGCTACAGTAGCCACACCCCAAACTCTCAGCCTGCTACAGTAGCCACGCCCCCAAACTCTCAGCCTGCTACAGTAGCCACACCCCAAACTCTCAGCCTACTACAGTCACCACACCCCAAACTCTCAGCCTGCTACAGTAGCCACGCCCCCAAACTCTCAGCCTGCTACAGTAGCCACGGCCCCAAACTCTCAGCCTGCTACAGTAGCCACGCCCCCAAACTCTCAGCCTGCTATAGTAGCCACGCCCCCAAACTCTCAGCCTGCTTTAGTAGCCACGCCCCCAAACTCTCAGCCTGCTACAGTAGCCACGCCCCCAAACTCTCAGCCTGCTACAGTAGCCACGCCCCCAAACTCTCAGCCTGCTACAGTAGCCACACCCCAAACTCTCAGCCTGCTACAGTAGCCACGCCCCAAACTCTGAGCCTGCTACAGTAGCCACGCCCCCAAACTCTCAGCCTGCTATAGTAGCCACACCCCAAACTCTCAGCCTGCTACAGTAGCCACGCCCCAAACTCTCAGCCTGCTACAGTAGCCACGCCCCAAACTCTCAGCCTGCTACAGTAGCCACGCCCCCAAACTCTCAGCCTGCTACAGTAGCCACGCCCCCAAACTCTCAGCCTGCTACAGTAGCCACGCCCCCAAACTCTCAGCCTGCTACAGTAGCCACACCCCAAACTCTCAGCCTGCTACAGTAGCCACACCCCAAACTCTCAGCCTGCTACAGTAGCCACACCCCAAACTCTCAGCCTGCTACAGTAGCCATAGTAGCCACACCCCAAACTCTCAGCCTGCTACAGTAGCCACGCCCCAAACTCTCAGCCTGCTACAGTAGCCACGCCCCCAAACTCTCAGCCTGCTACAGTAGCCACGCCCCCAAACTCTCAGCCTGCTACAGTAGCCACACCCCAAACTCTCAGCCTGCTACAGTAGCCACGCCCCCAAACTCTCAGCCTGCTACAGTAGCCACGCCCCCAAACTCTCAGCCTGCTACAGTAGCCACGCACCCAAACTATAGGTTGAGCTGAAAAGTGATTGACAGCTTTGACCGCTCTTAATGTTTTGATGGTGCCTGGGAGACTCACTTTTTACACTTTTGGAGGAGATAAACCAAGGAAAGGCATACTAATAGTCAATGAACAATAAACTGGGTTCAGAGAATTTATTTTAACAAAAAAAAATCATCATGTTAAATCTGCTTTACTTGAGTGAAAAAAACAAAACAAAAACAACCAGCAGGTGTCACTCTCGGCATGGCATATCTGTTATTCCATATAGTGTAAGAATTCTGGCAGTTTCTAGAGTAACAGGGCTAATAAATGACCAGATTAAGCTCTATATGATATTTAACACACGCATGTAGATCCTGCTCTTCTAGCAAACAAAACCAAAGTGATGTTTCATTATCCTTGTGCTGTGAAGATTTGATTTACCCTCATTCTGCATTACTAATGTGTCTGCTTTAAAGCTTCGGCTTCTGCTAAAGAAATTTAGCATTAGAGTCAGTCGGTCTCCTAAGCTGGATCTAAATGGCCTACGCCAATCAGAGGGGAGGATTGATGCCATTTAGTGACTTTTGGGAAGTCTGTGAATTATTCACAACATGCAGGGAACAGCTGATCAGACTATTGATTTATTAGGAAAGTCCATAGATCAGCATCTGATGTGAACTTTGAAACTTTAGAAAAACTGGGGAATGTTAAAAACAAGGCAGAGTTAAAAAATTGTGAAATAAGTCCCTTTTTCCAATGAAAAAAACATTCCCCTTGTGTTGTTACCATCTTTTAGGGTGTTCACACTTGGTTCTCTTGGTCCAAACCAAAAAAGAAAATGATTAGGGTGTGTTCACACTTGGCATGTTTGGTTGGATTAAAACAAACTCTGGTGTGATTGCTCTGTTAGTGCGGATCATTTAAATAAGTGTGAATCTGCCATCCGAAACCTCGTGCGCACCAAACAAGCGGGCCGAGCCGCTGAAAACATGATTCTTGAATAGTTTTTTCTCATCATAGTCGTGATATTGCCCACCACAGTTCGGTTCAGGCATAAGAACCGTGTCTACTCGCAGCAGATCTTCGTTTGTGTGTGTGATGGAGGGATTCCTGCCACTGTTTTGACTCCTTTACATATTTTATAAGTTCTTCACGAGTTCTCAGCTGGTAAAAATAGCATCATATGTAGGCTACGCACATACAGCGAGTGCATTTAGTTTTGGATGTTCGGTAAGTTCCGTCACGAAATATACGTTATAAAAGCCAACCAATCAGGTTGTGAGCATATCCCTAAACCTTTAGGTTCGGTACCTTTAGGTTCAGTGTTAAAATGCCAATGTGAATGGTTAGCGGACCAGGACTAAATTAGTTTTTTTGCGTTCGAATGGCAGCGTTCACACTTGTTTAAATGAACCGCACTAACTGAAGTTTGTTTTAGTCCAACCAAACATGCCAATGTGAACAAACCCGAACACTTTACAACAAGGTTCCATCTAACATTATTTAACTACATTAGTTAACATCAACTAACAATGAAAAATACTTCTAAAGCATTTACTAATTTAATTTATTAATTTCCTAATACATTATTAAAATCAAAAGTTGGGAGCTGACTTTTTCAACCAGTTGTATTTTTATTAACGTTTATTAACGTTAACAAAGATGAACAAATACTGTACAAATGTATTTCTTATTAGTTAATGCATTAACCAATGTTAACTTATAGCAGGGTTTCCGTTGTCCGGTAATTACGGTAAAAAATGAAATGTCCGACAAAATTAAATCTTTCCGGTCAAATTGTCCAATTAAAATTGCGTAATAATCCCGCCCCCCTAACACAATACGAATTTGAGAATAAGCCTAAAATGTATAAAGCAAAAATACACCGACCTTTGGCTATGTTATAAAGGAAAAGGCTCTACCGTTTGAAAGTTATTAAACAACATCGCATGCTGCATTTCAAATAAAGCGCACGCTTAAAACGGTTGTAATATAGAAACGCGCGTCCGAGTGAAGATTGCGCAACTCGCGCAGCGCGTCGTCCATGCAACTGACACGAGCGCTCAGCTTGATTTCAAAAACAACTGATTTTAGCGCTAGATCTTTTATTTAATAGCGAACTAAATGAATGATCTGCTAGTTAACTGGAGATCTTTTATTTATTTGTATTACCGGTAGGTACATCCGTGCCTCAATGTTTCAAAAAGTGAATGTGTGTGAAACCATAGTAAAAAACAATTGGTGTTGATTGACGCCAATCGGACGTTCATGTTTTTTTCCGTCTATTTGAAAGTTAGGCTACTAATAACATGGCCTGTATATGTCATTTAAGTTACATAGCCTGCCTCCAGTTTTCCTCAACTTGACTAATTAAGAGGCGATATTTGACCGGCATATCATCAAAATGTCCGTAAAACGAAACCTTTTTTTTCTAGCGGAAACTCTGCTTTTAGGACCTTATTGTAAAGTGTTACCAGCGTAAAAACTCATTTCAGCTTAATATAAGCGTAAATAAAATTGTATTTATTTGTTTTGTGAAAATTCAAGCACAGCCGTATTGGAAATGAGTACGTTTGTGTTTTGTGTCAGTTCACTAGTTCCAAAGCAGTTTCATGGGTTTAGTCTAAATGTGAGGAAGCTGTCTCAAGTAAACCCATGTAACGTGCCGATTTAGTCACGCACATGCGCACATGCTCACACTGACGAACCCCATTTCATTTGGTCCTTTCCGCAATGCCTTTTGAAATCACAGAAAGACATTGAAAGAGCACAGAAAAGGGGTTTGATCGATGAATCCACAAGCCACAGCCAGCCGTTCCATGTGTGTGTATGTTGATGTGTGTGTCATTAATAAGCATTAGTAGGGATTAATACCTGCTTTAAAGCTCAGCTCATCAGCCTCCTGCCCTGTGTAATCATACAGCGCTTTAACACGAACCCCGACTACCTTCTCCTCCTCCTCCACCCCGTTGGCTGCGATGTATTTTTTGGGGCTCTCGTCATCAGACCAGTCCGAGGAGTAGTCTTTACCCGCCCTGTGTGGACAGCAGAGGAATTACAAATCTGCACACATTCATGGAGGAATCATTTTAATAGAAGCTGGAAGATTTGACTCAGGTAATCAGGTGATCTGTGATCGTTAGTTCAGCTAAAAAACATTTGAAATGTTAATACAAATCTCAAATCTATTAAAGGAATTAAACTTATCTGTGGCATGCCATGGATTATCACAGAAACTAATTTCAATGTGCCCTCAGTTTGTAAAAAATTGTACAAAAACTAAACATCACATTTACAGTGTAATGCATGCACATTTCGGGTTTTGCACTAGGCTACAGTAAGCGCGTACTGTATGCAAGCAGACAGATTTAAGCCCAAAGTATACTTCACTTTTTGCGTGTACACTAGGGTCCGCATGCAGTGTGTGACGCAATTTTCGCATATACTGTATGCATTCAGCCCGATTTTTCTAACCACACATATTCTGTACGCGCAGGTTGAAAAGGGCTGCCGCTTTTGCATAGTGTGTGCTTATCGGTTAATAATCATTTGAAACTTGTGAGTATTCTCTAGCTGTGGAGTGTACATCAGTTGTACACTTGTTATTGCAGTGCATTGTGGGATTGAATTAGTGCACTTGATAATGTCAACTAGGGCTGCAACAACTAATCGATAAAATCGATAATAATCGATTATGAAAATCGTTGTCAACGAATGTCATTATCGATTAGTTGGTCTGCTTACGTCACGGGGAGCGTTTACTGGTGATTGGTTGAAACAGGCCAATCAGGATGCTCTCTGTCTTACACGCGCTTCATGAGGCACACACACGCAAGGTCTCTCTCCCTCCGTTGCTCTGCCGCGCGCTCGCGCTACACGGTTTGGAGCACAGTCTCTTCTGTCTCGCATGCGCGCTCTTGCTTGCGCGCTCAAATCCCGGGAGTTTGAACTAATTTGCGAGCCGCTATCAATATGCGGGTGACTTCCAGAACTTCCGGGAGACTTGGGATGTCTGTATTTTGCGTCTCGAGCATCAGGTTGTGCAATCAGTTCGCTCGCAACATAAGTGATGGATTAAAATAGTGCTACCGCAGAAATATTAAATTGAAACGGTCTTTACAAAGCGAAGCACTAAATATAAAGGCAGTTAATAACAGCAGCAGTAAATTATTGTTTTTTAGTCACTGTACTCAGTGGTTTTCAGCGAATGTTTGTGCACTAATGCATCATTTTTCCTGTCTTTTAATCAAGCCTGTTAGCTTGCTGCGTACCTCCACTCCGTTCTCTTTATATAGCATTTGTTTACTATTAAGTTTTAATTGTTTTTCAAACGCGATCTACTGCGGCTCTATGTTCACACGCTTGTTTTCAGTCTTTCTATATTTATTTTTACAAATTATCCTTATAATTCAATTAATTTTAAATAAAAATTAAATGAATTATATATTTGAGATGTTTTTAGTTTATATCTTCACATCTGAACAACATGTCTGTAAATTTGTTTTAACAAAAATTGTGTTAAAACAATATGTTGGATATAAATGTTTTTTTTTTTTTACATTAATCATGGTTGTCAACTTGCCATCAGCAATTATCATTAAAAACAATGCAAATATTGATATTTGTAAAACTCAATGTGTGGCTTTTGCACTTTTTAAAGTACACTTTTACACATAAATATCCTAATTTAGGGTTTTAGGTAACACTTTATTTTACGGTGTCCTTGTTACATATGTTACATGTACTTACTGTAGTAATAACAGTAAATTATGCATAATTACATGCAACTAACCCTCAACCTAATCCTACCCTATTCCTATAGTAAGTATATGTAGTTACTTAATATTACTCTGTACTTAAATATATAATTACACTGTAACAAGGACACCTTAAAATAAAGTGTAACCGGGTTTTATTTAGTCATAATAAACAAAAAATCTAAGTGAATTTTTTTATCCGATTAATCGATTAATCGAAAAAATAATCGTCCGATTAATCGATTATCAAAATAATCGTTAGTTGCAGCCCTAATGTCAACTATGGTTTCAGACACCACTACAAATGGTCCCCGCAAATAATGCACTATAGTATTTAAGGGTATAGGGGGCGATTTCAAACACAGCCAACAATAGCCATGTTTCCATCCTAAAATATCATAGAAATAAAACATGGATAGAAATGCCAAGATGTGAATAATTTCTAAAAATGTGCATGAAAATCTTCGACTCGCTGGATGGAAGCGGTGCTTTATTCGCAAATGTTTAATGCGATATTCCAATTTTGAATTTGCACACAAGTTAAATTCGCAACTTTGGATGGAAACAGCTACAGTATTGGTGGGCTATGAGAGATGAGAGATTGTGAGGGGAGGTTAAAAAGTAGCTGCACTTGTAGTTACTCTATTTGTAACAACTCTAGCCAAAAAGACTATAAAGATGTGTATATGAGTTTTTTTCCGAGCACCGGTACGCATGTGCATATTGTCACATGGACTATACTTTGAAAGGCTATGCATACAACGCAAAAAAAAAAAAAAGCAGTATACTCTGGGCTTTACTCTGTACGCTCAGCTCGCATATGCGATATTTCTGTGTGTAAACTGTCTGGAATCCACATGTAACAATGTTTTGTGAAAATACTTTCAAAACAGTGTCAACAAAGTTTATCTCGGTGAAATGTCTTGCTCCATTGATGCTGTTGATAGAGCTAAACCTCTGTTGAACCTCGAACATTCATTCAGTTTTTACTCAAATAACATTGTGAAAATCAATATGCATCCTCATTCCTCAGAGGAATCTGCAAAGAGCAAATAAAAATGTTAACTGTTAAAACCTTGATTTTTAGGCTACATCAGGCCTGGATTGGCTAATCGGGAGCACCGGGAGAATTCCCGGTGGGCCGGTCTGTTTTATTGGCCAGGAGGGCCGGTGTTGTCATGGCACTGGGTTGAATGCTTTATATAGGCTCCAGTCACAGCTTTCTGAGTGTATAATGGACGTTGTGAAATAATTGCCTAATATTAACTCTAATTTGGTGCTGCAATGATTTGCATATCGTGACGATAACCGACCTCATAATCTGAGCTGCTTCAGTATTCAAACACCGCTCGTCGGCAATGGCAAAATGTTTGAGATGACCGATCAAAGCAAGCGGGATTTATGTTCACAGAAGCGCGAGCCGCACTGAATAGAAATTTATATATTTTTTTAAATACAATGAATAACAAGGCTGTACAGAACACTGCACTATTGCAGACTTATAGCTATACTGAGGTTTCAATTACATTATTTTAATATAGTCAGACGGGAAAAGTGGGCCGGTCTAAGACATGAAACTCCAGGGCTGAAAATTAGTCCCACTCCGGCCCTGGGCTACATTAAACAATTTTTTAGCTGGGAACCAACATTCCCAAATGATTGGCTCTCACAACAGACTGGGATCAAATGAGTTAATTTAATTTGCCTTAATAGCAACAAAACATTATAAACTGATGATTTTAGAAAGTTTCTTGTCTTAAAGATCTTGTTAGCTCTGTCCCACAACCTAGTGAGTTGTCTTTCTATCTACTGTCTACATAGGCAGCTGCCTCCTGAGAAGACGTTTTATCCTATAGTAAATGCAACCTTAAAAATGAATGATTTGGAACATCCTATAGGCACGATTAGCAGTGTTCACTTCACACAGAGTGTGCGTCTCAACAGCTAAACTATATGATGCTCATCCACATATTGCATATCTAATATTCATAATTTCTCTCGACTTAAATTAATATCTGCACTGAACTAATCACTGCATTTTGTGATTGTCTTCTCTGTATCCAATGCTGCCTTAGCATCAACCTGTTAACTGTCACCCCCCTTTTTGAGCATATATCTGAAATTAAATGTATTTGGTGAATGCTATGGTTAATTTTGGAGTGTCTTATTTCAAAGGCATACAGTATGTCTAATGAAGTTGTGCTCCAAATTTAAAGTTGATATCACAAAAATTGAGCCCACTAAAAGGTTTTAAAGTACCGTTTTCAAGGTAACACAATGTCCAAAGATTCCTAATTTATGATGATTACTAAAATATGTGATAGGGAAAACAATTAAAATCAATTAAAAAGCATGTTAGGACGCTGACAGTTAACATGATATAAGGCTGCATAATATTGCTGTCCACTTTTGTAACAACCCATGATGCCTGGATACGGTCTAGCTAGGCTGCTCACTAGGTTTTAGAACAGAGCTGTTGTCTGTACTCAGAGAGAGGAGGTCAATAAAGAAAGTTGCACTGACGGTGCATAGCCACTTAGGTTCTCGTAATAGCAGTCCAACTCATGCCACCTGTAGGTTTAAGAGTCAACAGAGACCAGACTAATAAGCAGGAAGCAGCAGAAGGCAAGGTATAATACTGCAGTTTAACAGGCATTCACTGTGTGCCCTGAGAGAGGCTCAAACACACTCCAACATGAGCCATCTATAGTATCTGAACCAGACTCAAACACACACCAACATGAGCTATCTCTATAGTATCTGAACCAGACTCAAACACACTCCAACATGAGCCATCTATAGTATCTGAACCAGACTCAAACACACACCAACATGAGCTATCTCTATAGTATCTGAACCAGACTCAAACACACACCAACATGAGCCATCTCTATAGTATCCGAACCAGACTCAAACACACACCAACATGAGCTATCTCTATAGTATCTGAACCAGACTCAAACACACACCAACATGAGCCATCTATAATATCTGAACCAGACTCAAACACACACCAACATGAGCCATCTATAGTATCTGAACCAGACTCAAACACACACCAACATGAGCTATCTCTATAGTATCTGAACCAGACTCAAACACACACCAACATGAGCCATCTATAGTATCTGAACCAGACTCAAACACACACCAACATGAGCCATCTATAATATCTGAACCAGACTCAAACACACACCAACATGAGCCATCTATAGTATCTGAACCAGACTCAAACACACACCAACATGAGCTATCTCTATAGTATCTGAACCAGACTCAAACACACACCAACATGAGCCATCTATAGTATCTGAACCAGACTCAAACACACACCAACATGAGCCATCTCTATAGTATCTGAACCAGACTCAAACACACACCAACATGAGCCATCTCTATAGTATCCGAACCAGACTCAAACACACTCCAACATGAGCTATCTCTATAGTATCTGAACCAGACTCAAACACACACCAACATGAGCCATCTATAGTATCTGAACCAGACTCAAACACACACCAACATGAGCTATCTCTATAGTATCTGAACCAGACTCAAACACACACCAACATGAGCCATCTATAGTATCTGAACCAGACTCAAACACACACCAACATGAGCTATCTCTATAGTATCCGAACCAGACTCAAACACACTCCAACATGAGCTATCTCTATAGTATCTGAACCAGACTCAAACACACACCAACATGAGCCATCTCTATAGTATCCGAACCAGACTCAAACACACTCCAACATGAGCTATCTCTATAGTATCCGAACCAGACTCAAACACACTCCAACATGAGCTATCTCTATAGTATCTGAACCAGACTCAAACACACACCAACATGAGCCATCTCTATAGTATCCGAACCAGACTCAAACACACTCCAACATGAGCTATCTCTATAGTATCCGAACCAGACTCAAACACACACCAACATGAGCCATCTCTATAGTATCTGAACCAGACTCAAACACACACCAACATGAGCCATCTCTATAGTATCTGAACCAGACTCAAACACACTCCAACATGAGCCATCTCTATAGTATCTGAACCAGACTCAAACACACTCCAACATGAGCCATCTCTATAGTATCTGAACCAGACTCAAACACACTCCAACATGAGCTATCTCTATAGTATCTGAACCAGACTCAAACACACACCAACATGAGCCATCTCTATAGTATCTGAACCAGACTCAAACACACTCCAACATGAGCCATCTCTATAGTATCCGAACCAGACTCAAACACACTCCAACATGAGCCATCTAAAGTATCTGAACCAGACTCAAACACACTCCAACATGAGCTATCTCTATAGTATCCGAACCAGACTCAAACACACACCAACATGAGCTATCTCTATAGTATCCGAACCAGACTCAAACACACTCCAACATGAGCTATCTCTATAGTATCCGAACCAGACTCAAACACACTCCAACATGAGCCATCTAAAGTATCTGAACCAGACTCAAACACACTCCAACATGAGCTATCTCTATAGTATCCGAACCAGACTCAAACACACTCCAACATGAGCTATCTCTATAGTATCCGAACCAGACTCAAACACACTCCAACATGAGCCATCTCTATAGTATCCGAACCAGACTCAAACACACACCAACATGAGCTATCTCTATAGTATCCGAACCAGACTCAAACACACTCCAACATGAGCCATCTCTATAGTATCCGAACCAGACTCAAACACACTCCAACATGAGCTATCTCTATAGTATCCGAACCAGACTCAAACACACTCCAACATGAGCCATCTCTATAGTATCCGAACCAGACTCAAACACACACCAACATGAGCTATCTCTATAGTATCCGAACCAGACTCAAACACACTCCAACATGAGCCATCTAAAGTATCTGAACCAGACTCAAACACACACCAACATGAGCTATCTCTATAGTATCCGAACCAGACTCAAACACACTCCAACATGAGCTATCTCTATAGTATCCGAACCAGACTCAAACACACTCCAACATGAGCTATCTCTATAGTATCTGAACCAGACTCAAACACACACCAACATGAGCCATCTCTATAGTATCCGAACCAGACTCAAACACACTCCAACATGAGCCATCTAAAGTATCTGAACTAGACTCAAACACACACCAACATGAGCCATCTAAAGTATCTGAACTAGACCTTATCAGTTCCTTCCAGGCACTTCATTTAGCTAATACTTTTGACCGTCCTTGATCCTGTTTTAACATGCTACCCTAACACACACGGGCTCACTATCTTTATGGGGACTCTCCATAGACGTAATGGTATACTGTCCAAACTGTATATTCTGTCCCCTTACACTAACCCTACCCATCACAGAAAACTTTCTGCATGTTCAAAAAAACTCATTCTGTATGATTTATAAGCTTTTGTACCCATGGGGAACTCAATTTAGGTCCCCACAGTGACACAAGTCCCCATGAGTCTGTGTGCATTTAGGTTTAAGTCCCCACGGGGATAGAAAAACATCTACACTCTCACGCACACCAACACACAAGTATTCTTATCATTATAAGGACATTCCATAGGCTTGATTTATATAAAAATTAAATAAACAAACTGTACATTCTAGCTCTTATCCCTACCCATCACAGAAACCTTTCTGCACTTTTACATTTTCAAAAGATTAATTTCGTATGATTTATAAGCTGTTTTTCTCATGGGGACCTAATCACACACACACACACACACACACACACACACACACACACACACACACACACACACACACACACACACACACACACACACACACACACACACACACACACACACACACACACACACACACACACACACACACACACACACACACACACACACACACACACACACACACACACACACACACACACACACACACACACACACACACACTGTCTGAATGTGCTGACTCAGTGCTAATTGGTGTAGCCGCTACTAAAAGCAGTGAGCGAAGCCCTCAGGGAAGAACTGTTTCCAGGATAATTAAAAAAACAAAACAATAACAATCCTCCACTTCTAAATACAACACTGTAATTAAAAGTTGGTTTACACCTGGTCACTTTATTCTCTGATGGGATATAGCCATTAGATCGTGAACAGACCAGGTTTAAATGCCCTACGAAACGTTTTAGAGGCGGATTTAAATCTGAACCACTTCATGAGGTGGTTTGAGACATTTCAAATGAAACCGGACAAGTGTAAATACATTTCATGAAAATAGCACAGGAATTGAACTTGGATTTATATTGGTTTTGCAGAAACACATTTATGAGGACAAGCGTAAATGGAAGAGATTTAACAAAACGGATAGCTATCCAAAATACGAAGTGACCAAGGTGTAAACATTTACAAAATATATATTTGTGAATATTTTCTTTGTGCATGAGCATTTGAGTGTGTGTTGGTCAGATGTACCTTGTAGTTTCCTCTGGGTTCTGAGGGGGTTCGTGTCCCGCCGAGACTATATTAGTCAGAGTGACAACGTCATCAGAATGACTGTTTCTTTCCTTTCGACTGATGGATCGGTGCGATTCTGGTGACCACTCCTGTTAAAACACCAAATGCACATGTGAAAATACATAATCACATGTAACTTATGATACAAGTTCCTATAATTTTCTGAATTTAATCGTATTTTTTTAAAAAAGGAACACTATTTTACAGTGTCCATGTTAAACGTTACATGTAGCTACTATAAACAGTATGCATAATTACATGCAACAAACCCTAAACCTAACCTAATTAATATTACTCAGTACTTAAATGTATAACTACACTGTAACAGGGACACCTTAAAATAAAGTGTAACCAAAAATAATAATAGCAGTAACAAAAACAACATTATTAATAATAAAAACGACAACTTCTGAAACTCTGTAGTGGGTTTATATATATATATATATATATACACACACACACACAAACACACATTACTAACCCTTCAGTAACTAGACTGATTTATAATTTATACATC